TCACTCAGCTCCTGAGCACACTGACACCAGCTCGGCTCGTCCCTGGCAGTCTTGCACCCTCTGTGACACCCTCCTCGCTTCATTCTCATTCAGTGCAATCCCACCACCACAAACCTGAACAATCTCTCAGAAAGGATGCTCAATTCCTGCAAAAAAAAAACAAAAACAAAAACCAAAAAAAAACAAAAAAAAAAAACCAAAAAAAAAAACACAGAAAAAAACCAAAAAACAAAACCAAAAAACCACCAAAAAAACACCAAAAAACCCCACAAAAAAAACCCCAAAAAAAAAACAAAAAAAAAACCAAAAAACACCAAAAAACCACCAAAAAAACCCACCAAAAAAAACCCAAAAAAAACCCAAAAAACCCCCCAAAAAACACAAAAACCCCACGAAAAAAACGCACAAAAAAAACCCCAAAAAACCAAAACAAAACAAAAAAAGGCAAACAAAAACAACAACAACAACAACAACAAACCTCAAGAAGTTCGCTCTTGCTTAAAAAACTAAAAAGCGACTTTTTAATGCCAGGAGCTCAGACAATGCAGCGTTTGCTGGCAGGGGAGGGGCGAGGAGGTTGGATTAAAACATCTGGCGGGGTAATTTAGATTGGCTAAAAAGTTTACACTCCAAACCGCCCCCAGGTAATTGATGGGCCCATCGTGATGTGTCACCCCCAGTCACTGCAGCCCCTGCAGCCCCTCTCGCCTCGCTGTGCCCTGGGCTCACCCTCAGGCCTGACCTGCCACAGCCCCCCATTAAACCTGCAATTATGGGGTGACTCTTAATAGCGAGGTCTTGCCTGAGAGTGGGGGAAAAAATGTTTCTGCGGCTCACATGCGACAATTAAAGATAATTTAAAATGTAAGTAATTGCACGGGGTTTCTGGAAACTACTGTAGGGGTCTTGTCCCAGGCAGCTGACAGGGGTGGAGGGGGGTATTTTGACAAGTTTTGTGCAGATTTCCATTAAATGCCAACGAGCAGCTCTATTTTCTTTGGAGTCGTTGGTCAGGAAATGGAGATTGTGAAAGGTCAGGCCGGGAAGATTCGGGCAGGGATGGAGGTGTTATTCCAGTTCTGATCCATGGGGATCCAGTTCCAATATAAATCCTTCAGTCAGTTGATTGATTCTGGCCTTCTGCAGTCTCTGAGCAGGGGAAAGGTAAGGGCTGATCCACAGGGAAGAGCTTCGGTCGAGTTCCTTTCACTGCTGCAGAGATGCCAGGCAAGGTGAGACTCAAAATCTTGGAATCTCAGAATATCCTGAGCTGGAAGGGACCCACGAGAATCACTGAGCCCAACTGTCCATCTGCTCTCTGGAATCATTGTGGAACCTGGGGAGTCTGAGTTGAGAGACCTGGAAACCCCCAAAACTGCACAACACACAGAAATTTCACTTTTATTTCCTTTTCCATCACCAGATTTCTAAATGAGATTCAAAAGTTAGAGCTTATGCATTATAGCTGCACTCAGCTTGTGCTGCTGCATCATAAAATTAAATGTATTTATAAGCAGCTGCAGGATCAGGAGATCTGAGAGATTTACCCTTTGTATAACTTTAGAGAGGGCAAAATGCATACAGGAAATAAAAGCTGGGGCAGAGTTGCCCTCATTGTTGCTTTCAAGTGGCTGCCTCCCTGCCTGCAGTGGTTCAGATGCGTTGGTAACACCGTGGCAGCTCACCACAAAAACAACATTGTGGGGCTGCACAAAAACCAAAAATGAAATTAAATATAAAAAAAAATTTTTTGGAAAAAAAAAAAGAAGTTAAACATGTCTCTGAAGTAAATTCAGTGAAACACAAACCTAAAGTGCACGACCACAAGAAGAATTGTATCGAAGCTTTAAATCATTTTCCTTCCTTTCTAAGATGAAATGATCCCAAACAGGAATATGCTTGAGACTTTGGTCGTTATATTTATCCCAAAGCGGTGCTTTTAATGAGGGATTCCAAGAGAAAATACCCTTCAGATGTAAAGGTTGCTGCAGATTTTATTCTACCATGCTCCGACATCATCATGGATGAGCCGCAATGACAGGAACTCGTTTGGGGGGGTTGGTTTTTGGAACCCAGAATCGTTTGGTTTGGTGGTTTTGTTTTTTTATTTTTCTGCATGAAAAGTCAGGGATGTGCTCAGACACAAGAGGACACATGTTGTGGTGACCCAGCCCAGGGGCCGAGTGGCACCGAGCGGAGCCAGGAGCGGCGGGAAACACTCCGGAGATTTCCTGGTGCCTCTCCAAGCTGCCAGAGGAGGTTTATATTAACATCACATGGCTGTCTCCAGCTGCATCTGTCAGCACAGCCCATTTGGAGACCCTGCCATGTTGGGCTGCACGAGGAGCAGGACGGGGGGGGAATAAAAAGAGATGCAGAAAAAACCCACCTGACAATAAATATCCAGATTTTATCACAGGAATCTTCATTGGTGACACCCTCAAAGCCAGGCTCCTCCACCCTGGCCCCTGCAAAACCTTTGTAGAACCCGTGTGGGGCAGCTTTTTAAATGTTTTTTGACACATAGGAAAATAACACACCATAGAAAGCTGGCAATGAGTTTGGCTCGAGGAGCCAAGTTGGGCATGGAAAAAAAACAACAAAAAAGACAATAAAAGGTCATTTCTAGCCAAGTTTTAAGTGAGTATACAATATATACCTCTTTTTCCCTGCTCCTTCCCTTAGTTTTTGGCCAACTTGGCTAGGAGCTTATGGAAAACACTGAAGTGGATTTATTATAATTGGGGGGTTTTTCTCTTTTTTTTTGACGAAGCAGAAGTTCTTATAAACAGTAATTGAATTGTGCCAAAAGAGTAACACAGACACGGTTCTTAAGGATGCACCATCAAAAAGAAAACCCTCTTTTCCACGCCATTCCTTAAACAAGGTGAGTTCATGAGCACCAGTGATCTAATACTGCTGCTATTTATGATTTCTCCAATTCTTTGTTATAAAGTCTGTCCTGAAGTGGAAAACTCCCGGTGCCAATCACATTTCCAAGCAGGTTAATTCAGCACCGTGAGTCAATTAGGATAATAAACCTGCTGGGGTGAGGGGGTGGTGGTGGGATTTCTTGGAATGAACATTTCCATCCTGCTCCTGGTGGGAAGGGATCAAACAGGAGACGTTTGGGTGGCTCCGGAGCCGCTCTCCCAACTCCCTGGTTGGGTGGCAGCTCCTCTCCGAGATGGCTCCGCTCTGTCCCAACACGTTCCCGGAGCCTCCTTCCTTGCCCCCAGGGATTCCAGGTGGATGGATGGCTGGGAGAGAGCTCCTTGCTGACGTAGGTTGCCTGTTTAACACCCTGCTCTGTCTCACACCGACCTGCACCTCGGGTTTGATTCGACTTTTTTGGGAAGGCGGAGTTTCCAAAATCAATTAAAAGGAAATACGGGGGTTTTTTTCGCCTCTGAGACCTTAATTGGAGGCGTCTTCCTCACCTTCTAAACGCTGTGAGTGTTTTGTCTGTAGGATCAGAGACCTTCCATGATATTTGACCTGGAAACATGGGTAATTCCACTTGCAGCAGCCCCAAAGTCTGTGTGACCTGGACCAGGTACTGTAGAGAAGGTGCCTGAACAGCAGCTTCCAAAATATCCAAATGATCCTGGGATATTTTGGTGAAACAACACAGATTCTGGATGCAAGATGACACAAGTTTTGAAGAGAGAGACAGAAAAGGAGTTAGGCATGACAATAAAAGGGGAAAAAAATAACTCAAACAGATTTGAAATGAAAAGTGAAAAGGAGCAGGAACCACAAGCCTGAGATTAACAATAAGTTTGTGAGCTGCAGGTTTGGGCTGTGTTTAAATAAGAGCAACAGTTTCCCCTCTGCATCTTGTCAATTAGAGGCAATTCCTTTTCAAATGGAGCAGATAATACATTTTGCCATATTCTCTTGGAAACTTCCCTCCAAGTTGAATGATTTTTTTTTTTTTTAAAGTGAAGATTTTGCCAGATGCATTCAACTCTCTGCAATTTTCTTTTGTCGCTTCACAAAGCAAAAATCTAAAGTTTCAGGAAAAAAAATAAATCCATTCCTATTTATGCTGCTGAAGGTGCAGCAATGGAAAAAAAGCAAAAGTCGGATGGAAAATAAACACGGTGAGTAACACTGGAGTCATGCTGGATGAGGCTTGTGGGGACTTGATTTGTGACACACACAGTGGAGACAAGGGTTGATGCCACCAGCTGCCCCCAGGGATTGTCTCTGGGGATGTACTGACAATGAGTTCACAGGGAGAAACATCTACAGGTGAGACCATGGGAACACCATCTGAAAATCCAGTTATCACCAGGGCTTTGTCACCCTCATGTCCCAAAAAAACAATCCCAGAGAGCTGTTATGGTGCCCTCAGCGTTTCACAGGGCACCACTAAACAGGCTGCCAAAGCTGGCCACAAAACTGCCCTAAAAATCAAGATATTGGGGCCTTGCTCATGCTCTTACCTGGTTGTTGTATGTTATGTTCAGGTTCTAATTGATGTGCATCAGAGGGTTTAAGTGAGGTTGCTAAAAACATTTAATGGTTGGAAAAAAACGTTTGACAGCTGGAATTGATGATCTTAAAGGTCTTTTCCAACCTTAACAATTCCACGATTCCATAAGACCACCTTCCAGAGCGGATGGACCTTCTTGAAGAGAGTCCACCCACCCACTCATCCCTTGGGCTGGTGGGACTCAAAGTCTCACCTTCAAAGCATCAGTGGGACATCCCACCTGGCCAAAGAATCTGGAGGTTTCCAGCTTTTATGGGTCATTGTCACCATCTCCAGCAGCATCAGAAGGCTTTGGGGCACTGTCATTCCTGCTTGAAGGCACTTGTTGGCAGTGCAGGGACTGTGCCATTTTTGTGAACTCAGGCTGGGTTAGACCTGAATGTGAGATCACCAACTTTAGCACTTGGAGATGGGCCAACTGAGCTGAAAACATGAAGATCTGACCAACACCAGGAACTGGCAGCTGCTTGAAAGCTGCTGCACATCTTTGTGCCCAGACACAAAGGGATGGACCAAGCTTAGCTGAGGACAAAACGTAATTAAACATCTCCATACCAAAGTAATTACAGAGAGGTGGGTGACTAAATCCCATGGCTGATCTGGAGCTAAACCCGTGAGCAGGATACAATGGATTGCAAACAGACACACACACCTTTGCCAGGGAGTTACACAACCTTGCTCTCCTCCACACTGCCAGGGCTGGCTGGGGCTCACGTGGGTCTGATGGCATCAGCAGGAAGGTGCTCGTTTGTTCCAGACAGTGAAAGTGGCAGAGCCTGGAAGTTTCCCACGCAGGAATGAGGCTGATCCATGTGTCATCCCAAAATCCTCCTCCGCGCGCGTCACTGCAAGACGTGACACTAAATTTAGCCCTTGAAAATGAGCTGGCAAGCAGAGAGCACAGCTTTCACCAAAAATTGGGTGTTCACTAGGAGGGGTGTTCACCTTCTCCCAGCCTTTCCTCCTTGAGGTGAAGTTTCCACCTCCTTCACCCCAGAGATGAGCTTGGACTGGGTGTGAGGAAAGCAAGACAAAGTGAGAAGGGAGGTTTCCTTTTCCTTCCCCTCGATGAATCTCCCACCATCAGTGACTTACAAGCTTCATGTGAAGCATTAGATGCCAACATGACCTTCTGCAACAGTTTGTTTGCCCTGGATGCTGAAGCCCTCTGGGATATGTGAAAATGGAGGGTCTGTGGTGCTGAGTGACCAGCACTGGGTCAGCTTTGCACAGGGACAACCATTGTAATCACTTGATGACCCCAGATTCCAGCAGCCCAGGCACATGGTGGCAAGGCCCATGGAGAGCCCAAAGCCTGGATGGAGGAAAGAGGCAAAGGGACAGACAGACAGACAGATATTGTTGCCATAATGAAAGTCTGCTGGTGAAAGGCAGGGATGGTGGCCTTCTTAGGATCGAGGCATCAAAAGCCAGGACACTTCAGAAGCCATGAGAACATCCCCAGTGCAGGCAGAGGTGAGGGGACAGCACAGGGCTCCCTCCAAGGGTGTTCCCATTCCCTGCCCTGTGACAGCCCCACCACTCCAGGCTCCTGAATCACTGGGACAGCTCAGGATGAGCAACCTCAGCACCCTCTTGGCAGAACCCTATTCCTGCCTCCCAAACAAACAGAGGAGCTCTGGGGAGGCAAAGTGGAAACTGCTGCATGACTTCACTAAAGGGAGCAAAGGCAAGGAGGTGACAGTCCACCATCTCTCACATCTGATGGGGATAAACCCAATTTATCCCAAAATTATTGACAAATAGTGCTTCAACCAGAGGATAACTCGCTCAGAAAGGCTGGCTGAGATCCCTGTGCAGCTGAAACCAACTTCAACCAACCCAAGCAGAGCATTTTGTTGTTGTTTTCTAAAAGGATATCCATTAAGACCAGGAGATGGGCAAAGTTCCCCTCCTCACCTCAGGCCAACGTGCTCCTCTGCAATTCCTAATACTGGAAAGGAGGTGGGGGAACAAGAAACCTCAGAAAATAAAACTTATTTGGCACTGCTGATTAAAACCAGTTTGTGCTTCCTTGTGAAAATCTGGGTTTGCTCAAAGGTTTGGGCAGTTCTGGTCTCTTCCATCCACATAAGGTTTGTTTTAATGACCATGGAGTTATATGAATCTATTAATTTTGTTCCTGAAGGTTTCATAATAACAATGCCTGTTTTTTTCACGCAGCACTTTCCAGCCACGTGTCTGGAAATGCACTGCAAATGGGCAATTAGTGTCAGCCCCGTGCTGGAGATGGAGAGACTCAGGCGGGATCCAGGCAAGATAATTCCTAAATAGTGATGCCAAAATCAGGCAGTTCGGTTTGATCTTCAAACAACTGGAGCTGGAGCCTGAAAAAAAAAAACTCTCAAAGACAACTCAGCCAGGACAAACACAAAGCATTTCATTGAGTGGAAGGGGAAGGGCTGGCATGGGAATGACCAACACTGGGTGAGCCTGGCACGGCTCGTCCTGGGGTCAAGGAGTCACTGCTCATCTGCCCTCGCAGGGATGCCTGGATGGGGCTCCTGAGCCACTGCTGATGGATAGAGCACCCAAAAGGAGCACCCAGGAGCCCCGGAGAAGCCCTGGAGGTGCTGCCAGGGGCATGGGCTGGGTGATGGGAGCCAGGCGGGAGGAGCCGCCGGCAGGTCCGGGATGAGGGAGTGGGGGAAGACCCGAGCCAGCCCCAGAGCCAAGGGGGGATTTTGGGATTTCACTGCTCTGCTGAGGCCCAGAAACCTGCCCAGAGCTCATCCTGCAGGAGCAACACGTGGCTCCAATTCTCTGATGCCAGGCCTCGCTGCGCCGGCATCCACATAAATCCCGGAGCCCTGACACCGAGCTTTTCATCAGAGCTGGGGCAGGGAGGGGAGAGGGGGAGCAGGGAGGCTGGGCTGGGAGGAGATGGGTCTCGGCAGCAGGCACAGCTCCTCTTCCTGCCCAATAATCCTCCCTGTGTTTCATCCACCAGCTGATAACATGTGGGTCCCATTTCCCCCCACCCTCCCCTCATCCAGAGATGGCAGATCCAGCCCCGCTGCCATCTGAGCCCTGTGTGCAACTGCTCCTGATTAAAGAAGAGAAAACCCTCCTGATGTGAGGCTTGAAAGGCTCGGGAGGGCTCCCCACACCAGCCCAGAGTGCCCTGGTGATGCTGGAGTGGGGCTCTGGTGACCATCCCTGAGCTGATCCCCTCCTGCCTTTGTGGTTCCAGGACAGGTTCTCTCCTGGGGTTCACTGGCACAGGGAAATTCCTGCCTTTTTATTGTTCTCCCAGTTCACTTTATCCACTGAAATAAATATTAAATATATATATATATTAAATATATTAATTAATTTCAGTGGAATTAGGAACAAATTCATGCATTTTGAGATTTTTGGAGTGGGAGAGAGTATTTCATGCAAAATATCTTCCTGTGTGAACAAACAGGAGTTTTGTTGGGCTTTTTTGTTTGTTTGTTTGTTTAAAAGAAGGGAAACTGAAGCCAGAAAATCTGCACTTTGAAAATGAGAAGGGAGGGATTAATGAAGCAAAAATTCTCCCTCTTCCTTTCGGGGTGGGAATTTATAGGTGTCATTTGGGGCCTGATCAAGTGAAGTAACAGAGAAAGTATCAACTGAACTGGGGGTATTTCCAACATCACATATTTCTGCCTGATATTTTTTGATACAAAAATGTAAAAAGCCCAAAATGGACCCTTCAGAAGATTTGTATTTCCTCAGAATTTCCATCCTACCTGTGCCAGGGGTGCTGCAGGCAGTGCCATCCCCCAGGCTCACACCAGGGAGAGTGTTGAAATCACATCACTGGAAATCAGCTGGAATTTCGAGGAGTGAGGGCAAAAGCAGGAGAGGTTCTTGGTCATTGTGAGACTTTGAAGTTTCTCCTTCCTGAACAAACAGAGAAAGACAATTAATTCAGGGCAGAGCTCAGGACCAGTTTTGTCCCGAAATCCCCTCCCAGCACCACCAATAACCTTTTCCTTCACACACTCATTTAATTCCAATTCACTGGAGAGGATGACAGGCTCAACTTCCAGCCTTTCTCTTCCCTGCCACCCATCAGGTCCTCCAGAGGTTTTTTTCTTGGTTCCAGCTACCTTGCTGCCCTTCCAGCTGTGGGATCAGCCTGAGGGGAGGGTGTTGTCTCCCATCCTCATGCTCTGGGGCTCATCCTGCACCTTGGGTAGGTGCCTGTGTTCCACCTGGAGGAGCAGCCCTTGCCAAACCCTTCGGTTTGGGATGATCCTGCACCAAATCTCAGTTAATTCAGTCAGAGAGCAGCTCCTCTGAAGCTGCCACAGACCAAAGCTTATGAGAAGCGAAGAGCAAAGGAAAGTTTAGAAGAGAAATACAAAGCAGAAAAGATACTGAGAGGGAAAGAGATGGTGAATGGTAAGAAGGGAGTTAATGAGAGCCAGAAACGCTGGTTGGAGAAATGTTGATTTTATTTAGCATTAATTGCAGGAAAGAGCCTATAAAGTGTGGTAAGAAATTATTAAGTACCACTATGCAATGCCAGCTTTGTGCCAGCCATCCCCACGAAACAGGTGTATTATTCCTAGTTCCCAAGGTATAAATAAATAATGGCTTTTCCACATCTCTTTTTATGGTGGCATTTCATTATTTTTTACTGCCACATTGTTACAGCCCCAGTTCCTCCAGAGCAGGTTTGGGGATGGGGATCAGGGGGTGAGGGAACACGTGTGGCTGTGCAGGGATGTGTTTTGGGGGCTGGCACGAGGGAGCCAGGGCTGGGGTGTCTCAGCTGAAACCAGCTGGTGATCCAAGCCACCTTTCCTGGGGGAGGGATTGCCCTGGGACAGGAGGTTTTGGGGGATATCACCTCGCTCCAAGCACTGGTATCATCTCAGCCCAGTCAGGGGCGCAGAGATGGGGTTTCTATGACTCCTGTTTGCACATCTTGAGATCAGAAAAGCAAAATAAAACCTGTATTCAGCCCCACTTTTCATTTTCTCCTCACAATCTGCCTGTATGCCCTTCCCAGCATTGTTACATCCGACATTGTCCAAGTTAAGCACGAGGACAGATCCCATTTTTCCCGAGCAATGTTGATATCAGCATTTTTTGGGCTTGTTTTTCTCGAGTCTCTCACTGCTCAGGAAGAGGCTCAGTGGGGAGATAAGCACTGGATGCACTTTCCAAGCAACCTCTTGCTTCAGCTGAGGCCACCAAAGACGCCGGGGGAAGCAATGATTCCCTGGTAATGCCTCGGTCCAAGCTGTGACCTGGAACCGTGGGCTCTGCAAATATGCATAAATCTTCAGCTCCCATCCAAATCACTGCAAGGTTCAGTGAAAACAGCAGAGCTGCCAGTGAATCCAAGCTGAGCTTTAATCCAGCTCTGGGGTGATTTATGAGCTCAGGTGGAAACCAGGAAACCCGATGGCTTCGGCCCCAAACTGCGCTCGTTGGCTGCCCCAGCCCAGGGGTGGCTGCTCTGGTGCTGAAAAACTGGGACAACCAGGGCACAGATGGAATCAAACAGAACAACCACGCCTGCAAACCTGGGTCACCTATCAAAACATTAGCACAGACAGTAGGAAGCTCAATTATTTGTTCCTGCCTAAAAAAAAGAAAAGAGGAAAGAGAGAACACTTCAGTCCCACAACCCGGTTTTCCAGGGAAGAATGGGTGTCATATCAGCAGGGGAAGATTCTTCTGTTGTTGGCAAAGCTCCCCCTCAGCCAGAAGCAGGGATCTTATCTCTACAGAGCATTAACAAGGCCATTCCCTCCCCTTTCTCTGCCCCTCATTATCCATCTATACTTTAGCTTGGAAAAAAATTAACCACGATAACAATTAGCATGAGATCCCAGGTGACGTGACCAAGGAGACTTTTGACCAGCCTGGGTACCACCTCTGCATGTCCCCAGGAACCTCCAAATAACCATTCTCGTTTGGGCTGGGAATTCTGAGCCTCTTTAATGAGTTTAGCCGAGAAATTGGTGGGTGAGGGAGGGGATTTCTGCACCGCGACCCGACCGTGAGCTGCTCAGCTCCAAGCCTGTTCCCAGCCCGGGGCTCACAGCTGCAACATCTGCATCCCATCCCCGTGCCAAGTTCCTCCTTTTTCCAATACTCCTGCTCCACGTGCATGTAAATCTCTGAAGGGAAACTCTGCCTCACGGGTTTGCCCACGGAGGTGACGCCGGGCAGCGCGTTACAGCAACTTGGCCAGCCCAGACCCTCCAGGGCACTGGGATCCCACCAGCCCCGGCCCCCAGACTGCCCTGAGCTAATAAACCCCACCACAGACAGTTTACAACACCCCCCAGGTGTTTGGGTGACGAGGCAGTGAGCAATAGGTCCCTTGGCCAGTGGTTTTGGGGGACTGGAGAGGGCGATGCTGTGTGTGCCCAGGTGGCCTCAGCCCGGCCAGGGCTGGAGCAAAGGGCATGTGCTGAGTCAGGACAGAGAGACCCAGAGAAATGGGGGTGCCAGGGGTGGGACAAACTGAATTTCTCCTTCCTGGCTGAACAGCACCAGAATCACAAACTCTCCTTGCTACTTCCATGTGTCCTGGTTACAGTTTTCTCCCATTTCTTTGTGCTGAGGGTGTGTGAGCACTGTCACAACAGCAAAGCTGGAAAACCAAACCATTTCAGTTGGGAAAACCTTTAAGATCAAGTCCAACCATTGACCCAGCGCTGCCAGGGCCGCCACTAAACCATATCCCCAAGTGCCACATCTACACATCTCTTAAATCCCTCCAGAGATGTTGATTCCACCACTGCCCTGGGCAGCCTGTCCCAACCCTTGAATCTTGTACCTGGCCCTGGGCTCCTAAAGCCAATATTGCAGCATTTGACACAGATTCTGAGTGTGTCACCACATAAGGATCTAGGCAGGTATCACCTAGAACTGAGGGCAGGCTTTTCCTGACTCTCCCATCCCTGCTGGGCACTGTGCCTGCCTTCAGGTGGGTGAGATGTTCAGGAAAACATCTCCGGTGCTGAATGGGTTTAATTCACCACAAAAGCAAAAAATTAATCACTTTAAATACACCACATCAATTCTGCAGGCAGACAGGACCGAAGGCAGTCTCCTGATTTTTCATGGCTATTTCTCATCCCTGAAAGGACAAGTGTGACCTGGACAAAGAAGTCACAGAAAAGCCACCTGACCCCAGATCTCTCTGTTAAAGCCTAACATGTCTGTCCCAGTCCAATCAAGCTTCTTCTTGACATGAATATTGTCAAAAAACTAATCCAGAGGGTTCATTCTTCCCTTTATATCAGAGCAAACAGTGAGAGATTCCCAGCTCTCCTCATATGAAAAACCAAACCTGCACTGAAAGGGTTTCTGCAGGACCTGCCTTGTAAAAGAAACGAGATTAGTAACAAGCTTTCTGCCTCTTTTTTTTTTTTTTTCTTAAATTTCTAGTGAAAGAAAGAGTGTGACAGGGAACTAGGAGTCTGTCTGCCATGGAATATTCCTGCAGTACTCGGGGCTGTGGTTTATTTTACTAGTGGTGACTAGTTCAAGCCACATTTAGTCAATAAATATGAGATATGAGGTCACCCCGCCATCGAGCTGTTACCCTGTCTACATATTTCACAGCTGGGCAGTAACCTTTTAACTGGCGTCTACCTCGGTGGGGAGTCTCCATAAAAAAAGAGCCAGGATCCATTGGTCGTGGTGGGGGATCAGGGCCATTCCTGAGCAGCCTGAGTGGGAGAAAGGGAGAGCTCAGGGCTTTGCTTTTCCCTTCCTTTCCCTGTTTTCCAGTGGAACAGCATCCAGCCAGAGCTGGAGACTCTGAGCTGCCCCACAGGTAACAGGCAACGAGGCAGCACATCCCACATCCCAAGGTTTTACAGTAAGTTTCCCCATCTTTCCTATAGAATTGGGTCAAAAGAGAAATTTCCTCCAGTTTTCAGCTTGACAGAACAAACCCACCGAGTCAAACATTTATTTCCTAGGGGTTAGTTTCTCCTTTTATACATAAACTTCTTTAAAAGGTTTTTTCCAAGTCTGTATCTTCTCCTTGCTGCCTCTGCTTTGCTTTGGGATGAGGAGGACACTTCCCTGGTTTCTGAGCTGGTAACTAAGTCTGGTTAAGGTGGAGCATCCCTGAGTCCAACATCAAACCTTTCACCCCAGGAAACTTCCTGGGATGGTCCCAAATGAAGGGGAGGTGGAGGGGAGGTGGAGGGGAGATGGAGGAGACATGGAGGGGAGATGGAAGGCAGATGGAAGGGAGATGGAGGGGAAGTGAAGGGGAGATGGAGGGGAGGTGGAGGGGAGGTGGAGG